AAAAAAATGTAAAAAAAAAAAAAAAAGAAAAAAATCCATTCCGCGATTTAATTCTCGTAGTAATAAAATGGCGCGCGCGTTACACCGAGAATACATTGTTTTACAGTAAAAACCTGGCACGTTTCTTTTAGAAAAAAAATTATTCCTTCAATTAATTAGACGATTTGAATACGTTCGTTCATTCCTTTACGTTCCTATAAGGTTTTTACATTTATTTTCTTTTTGTTTTTTTTGTTTTTTTGCGTTCATTCGTTTGCAAGCAGCAGAGTTCGCTTCAAATTAAATTCCTGACTGCCCGTCGAATCTTCTTTTTTTTTTTTTTTTGTATTTCCCGCCCTCTCTTTTTCTTTTTGTTTTTTCTTCTTTCTATTTATCCTCTTTTATCTTACTCTACCTTTCTCTAACGTATGTACGTATATATATATATATATACATACATGTATGTACATATATATGTATATACGTAACGGCATTCGTCGTTCATTCGAATGGCATCGACGATGAATAAACCGGAAAGATAATGGCCAATGAGTTGGTTTAAACATACGTAGAAGAAATAGTTTTGCATCTTTGGACCAATCCCGTGTCTGCTGTTACGTTCTTTCCTTCTCTCTTCCAACACCTATCTATCTCTTTTTTCTCTCTCTCTCTCTCTCTCTCTTTCGATTTTTATTTTTTTATTTTTTTTTTGTTGTTGTTAATGCACGAAACACGTTTTCACTCGTTTACAAATTTATACCGTTTGGTTTAGCAGCATCCCTATAACCGAAGCGAGTATCACGCTCTTATCCGAGTCGTCCCATAAATCACGATGCAAATTTATCGATGAGGGGAGGATTCGCGTACTTTAACGTCCTCCTTCTCCTCCTTCTCCCTCCTCCTTCTCCACCCTACTCCTCTTTCTCTTCTTCCTCAATTGAGGAGGTTGAACGTTAAAGAGAATTGTTCGTGTGTACGAGATGAACGTGTATAAGGGATTCCCCTTCTCTCGATACATATACTTTTCATCTTCTCCCTTTTTCGTGACTTCAATTACGAACATACTGTCTTCGAAAAATAAAAGCATAGAAATATACAAAATGTCTCGTCGATAAGAAAAAAAAAAAAATCATCGTTTTGATCGACCTGTAATTATGTATCTATTATCTGAACGCGCGTAATTTAAAACGATGTTTAATGTTACTGTCTTTGTCTTTGGATTCTTTTTGTTTTTATTTTGTTCTCTTTCCTCAAACGAGAGTATCTTTTAATTACGAGTCTTTATATATATACTATATATTTGGATGTTGGTAAGCTTGATGTTTATTTCAAGCTCAAAAGGGAAAGTAGTCGGAGCTTTAATGGACTTTTCACGCTTGATTTGGTGGTTCGCATTGAAAATTATTCGGATGCAATGGCGCGAGAGTCGTCCAAAAGGGTGGTGAAGAAGAAAAAGAAAAAGATACTGGTACTTTAAACTCGATCTCTTTGATAGAAAGAGAAAAAAGAGGGTGAAATTTAGCGGACAGTTTAAAAAAAAAAAAGAAACAGTGAAAAGTGGGGTAAAGAGAATGAGACAAAATAAAAAACAAACAAACAAACAAACAAATGTTAAATGAGAAGACAAGAAAAGAAAGATTTCTCAGGTTCTTCAGTATTCATTAACGGCCGCTTTTGTAATCTCATTAACTTTAGCCAGGTAAGATCCTTATTCTGAGGTGGCGCACGTCTCGTTGAGCTCGTGAAGCTCAAAAAGCAACCGAACCCTTTTTCGAAAACTTCTACTTCTCGTTGCATCCAACCGATTGCCAACTCGCGAGATTGCGAACTGAAGCTGAATGCCCAAGTACCCACTTGCAGTTCTCTTTCTCTTTTATTCTTCTTTTTCTTTTTCTTTTTTTTTCCCCCCATAGTCCGCCCGCCCTGTCCTTTTTCCGTCACTATCTTTTTCCTTCCTTCCTTCCTTCCTTTCTCTACCTCAATGCCACCATGAGGCACTTTTTTTCCTTATGCGTAATACGCGTGCAAGTCCTGTCTCTTTTCCCGTGTTCCCCACATCAAACGAACCGACAAAGGAGAGAACGGAGTATAAACCAGGGTGCAGGTAGTACTCTCCCTCTCTCTCTCTCTCTCTTGGTTTTTCTATACCTCTTTATCTCTCTTATTTACTCTTTCTTGGCTTACGAGGGACGACACGTAGCTCTTGTTCCGGAGGATCAACGCTGCCCTTACTTTACTCGCTTTTCATCTTCGAAATATCCACTACGATTCAGTATATATATATGTGTCTCTTTCTCTTTCTTTTCCTTTTAAAGTGTTCTATCACTCACTCACTCACTCACTCACTCACCACCATAGTCTCAATTTTTCATATCATTTTTTGTTATCGAAAGTATACGATCTATCATCATCTCAACGTCATTTTAACGATCATTCCTAAGATTTCTTATCCTTGATTTATCTACCTTTTTAGATACGTTATTACATCGGTAGATGATAATTTATTTATTTTTTTTTTTCTTTAAATTTACCAACGATATATAAAACCTAACCTACATCTCTCATCAATTTATGATCGAGTAGATTTTTGTTGTTGTTAAAGTTTTAAATATTGGGTTAGCAAGAAAGTAATTTCGGCTTGCACCAATAAATTAGGTTATGTTTGTTTCGTTATTCTTTTGTTAATGTTAGAATTGTGTTCTTTTGAGGTATGGAGGGTAGAAGTAAGGAGTAACATCTCTGTATATGAAAAGTGTCCGTCGAATTGCATTCAATTAAGGTGGCGCCACAGTAGCTTGAGGGTACATTTTAAAGGAAGCGCCAAATATTATTAGAGTAGGATTGAGAAATAAACAAGGAACACAAATTTCACAACACAAATTTTATCCCCATAACTGTTTTGTTATTCACATACTTTTTCATAAAATTAAATGATAAAAAATCAATAAACGTACTATTTACAATTAACGAAATAAAATCACTTTAGTTACACGTTTTTTTATAATTATTCTTTAAGGTTATATTTACTACATTATTACATAACTCGGCATACTTCAATTCGTTTACAATTGTTATATTCATACCATACCTTCTGTCTACAGCAGCGCCATTCTGGAAGATTTTTGAACTATTATTTATAGAAAACGCTGGACACTTTTTCACATTTTCTCCCATAAGAGATGTTACTCCTTACCTCTACCCTCCATAGGTAGTTGACACTTTTAGATTGCTATAAAAACAAATTTTGTATAATTTTATTTACAACTGTTAGTTTAAAAACAATTGAGTTTTATTTCACACTAGAAAACCTAAATTACTTACTTGTCAATCCAATAATTCCGAGTTTTATATACAACATGTATGTGTGTATATACACGTTGAAAAGTAAAAAAAAAAAGAAGAAGGAAACAATAAAAAATGATGCGGGATGCCAGGGGTGAGAGAGTAATAAAAAAAAAAAAAATAAAAAACAAAAGGAAATGCTCGAAAAAAGAAGTCGATCGAACGTTTTACGCTTGGTAGAGAAATCTCACCCTCTTTGTGTCTCCTACGATTCTTTCCCACCCCCGCTATTGCTAACCCTCTATGTGGGTTGGTAGTTAGGGGTGTAGGTAGGTAGGTAGGTAGGTAGGTAGGCAGTATTTTACGCGTTTCAACAATGGGCCTGGAGCACTTATTAACTCGTCGGATCTATTGTGTTGCAGTTGTTTTGCGAACAATCCGTGTGCGGTTACTTTTCACGTGGAAACAAGAGTTTTTCGATAAAATGTCATTGCTCTCTCGTACTCTTTTTTTTCACATTTTTTTTCCTTCTTTCTTTATTTTTACTCAAAATGTCAGATAACAACGTCCTCGAGTTACACTCATCCAGTGTCCCCGTCATGGGGATGATGGGAATCCCAAATGAAATATTACTTTCAATTATTGGGTTGTTCATAGTTGATGCAGACTAGCAAATAACAACACGTGAGATTGGTGAGAGGTTAAATTTATCAAATTCAACTGTTTATGCCCACTTGAAAGGTCTAGGTTTAATCTCAAAGCAAAAATTGTTTTCATTTTCACAAAAGAAAAACTAAATTACTTTCCGAACAACCCAATAATTTGTTGAATATGTTTAAGGAGGGATTGTAATATATTCAATTGATATTTCTAACAATTGATTTAAGGAATAAATGTATTTCAGTCAAGATTTGCTGACGGTATGCAGAGAACTGAATCTGGAAAATTCCGTGGAAGAGTTGATGAGGGAATTAGGTGCGGACGAGCACGGTCGCATATCCTATCAAGAGTTCCTCAGACGTCGTTTGGCACTACGACCAGAAATCGAGGCCCTTAGGTCTGGTAAACATAGAACTAGCCCTCATCACACTCACACACCGGAATATCTTCCAACTAGCAGTGACAATAGTCTTGGTAAGATCTTAATCTTTCTTCTTTTTAGGTTAGGTTAGTCACTATGTTCATTTAACAGAAGAAAAAGGAGGTACTTACGTATTAACGCCACCGCAGCAAAAATTCCACTAATGCGCCAATAAAGAGCAATCTTATTGTTTGCACACAGCAACCGTCAGGGTTTTGTCAGGGTTTCATCAGGGTTATGGCGACAGCATCAGGTGAAAAAAAATAGAGATTGTTTTGAATCTATGTTAAATTCTAAATCGGCCCATTTTCCATCGAAATCCGATTGTGACTACTTTTTATAAATAAAATGTTTTGAATTTGGAAAGTGTTTCGATTTTATTCTATGATTTGTCGTCGTAACAATTTAAGGTGTAGATTGGCGCATTAGCTGAATTTTGCTACGGTGGCGTTAATATACGTAAGTACCGAAAAAAGTGTGAATACACGAGTGAGTAATATAATTGATTAATTATAATAAACGAATATGGTGAGATAATATGAACCTTGAGAAATTTGATTCGTTGGTATCGATATAACTACTTTGTCGAATGGAAGATAGAAGGATACATTTTATATTCATGAGCAAGTCGAGACGTGAGCTAACGGTTCGTTGGGTTTATTGAATTTGTAATCAATGTCAAAAGCTAGGGGGATGATTTTCGTCGTCACATTCAGACGGGCATATAACCTTTTACTCCTTCAATTCTTACAATTAGTAAGTAAGATCCTTAGAGTTATAAGTTCTTATCGATTGTATTTTCTGGATCAATAACCGTGATGACTAACGGGAGAGAAGCATTGTGTTACTATATAAAGGGTGGTCCAAAACTATCCGAAATAGAATGAACAATATTAATGCGATTATTTTTTGATACTTCAATAGGTTGACATTTTTTTTTTAGAAAATGTTTATAGATGATTGAAAAATATAGAAAAGTTTGTTCTTTTTTTGGATGACGATAATAATATAATTTTATGGTAGACACCTTACGTGTCAAACGAAATAATCCTTTTCCTTTTTTTTTTTTTTTTTTCGTCAGATCACAACCTTTAGATTTATAGTATTTTCCTGACACGAATATCTAATTCACCAATACGTAGATTTCGTTACATTTGTTTGTAAATTTTGATGGATTTTCAGGAACAGTTTCGGGAAGACATGAGAGTTGGGAATTCGACAGTGGTGCACGTGATCTTTCACCGGAACCTCACACCCTACAAAAGCTCGTCGAAGCTGCTGCCGGTGGATCTGGAAATATGTTGGATCTTGCTAATAAGGTAAAAGTTTCATATGTAATATTAATTATATTAAATTTGATTCATTAGAATGTAATTAATATTAGGTCTACCGTGGAAACTTGTGTTCATTCAAACAAACATTAGTTCAATTTTTTGTCACTAGGGGTAAGGCCCCTATTTCTTACAAATTGCCACCATGTTGCAATGCAAGAGTTCAAAAATCATTCAATTAATTAATATTGTTCAAATTATGAATAATATATTATTTTATTTTCAATTTTCACAAATTGACAGAATTTTCATTAAATAATAGACAATTAAATTTAAATTTAAATTAATTCAACTAAATTGAAATTACATTAAAATTAGGTAGACCTAATAATAAATTATTCCGTTCGTATAAAACATTTTAATTAAAAGTATTCACCACTCAAAGAGTTAACAAAAAAAAAAAAAACAACAATTTGAAAATGCGTGCCAAAAAAAGGCCATTAATGGGTTAATTAGTCATACCTAGTTAAAAAGGTTAAAATTACCATTACACGAATAAAACCGTCCATTCAATTAACTTCTTGTAACCAACTTTAACGGAACATTATACAAAAATAAAATGTGCAACAGTGTTAATAAAAAAAGGAATATAATACACCAATCAAAGAAACTCTTACACACACATGCACACACACACATATATATATATACAAGTATAAGAAGAAATATTATACTGCAGGGTTGTTAGATTTTCTTATCGAAGAACGATCGTTATCGTCTTTCCTCTCTTCTCCTCTCCTCTCTTCTTTTCTTTTCTCTTCTCTTTTTCTGTTGGTTCATTCGTTCGTTCATTTTATCGCATCCACAAGTGGAATATTCCTTTCGGTATGAAATATAACGAAAGACAAATAAATGCAAGTGCAGCAGAGCACTGTGCACAGCAACGTTTCTCGTTACCAGTTCTGATGTTGCTGGCTGCAGTTGCTGCTGCAGTTGCAGTTGCAGTTGCTTCTCGTGTGCTCGTTTCACGCTTCACATACTACCGCGGATCATCGATTAAGCTTACATATATATATATATATATGTGTGTGTTTATATATACAGGTTCTTTTTTCTTTCTATTGCACACTAATGCTATTATACGTGTTTCTTTCTATCTCTCGATTTTCATTTTGATTTTAATTTTTATTTGGATTTTTATGTGAAACGAAGAGAAGAATGAGAGACTAAGGGAGAGAGAGAGAGAGAGAGAGAGAGAAAGGGAAACACAAAATTCAACCCTAGTTCATTCTTTCGCTTCGTTAACATTATTTCATCACCGTCGTCTCGTCTCGTCTCTTATAAGCGACTTTTCCTCCATCATCGAGTATCCTATCCATTATCCACGATGTATTTGATTTATGCGTTAGACAGGGTAAACGAGGGACTAAAAAAAAAAAGAAGAAAAAAAATAATGAAAGAGAAGAAAAAAAAAATAGAAAAAAGACTAAGAAAAAAAAAAAAAAA